AGAAACCACCAACACAGCTAAGAGACAACCTACAATGTGGGAAAAAAATTTTAGCAGCTGTACCTCAGACAAAGGTCTACTATCTAGAATATATAAAGAATTGAAAAAAATCAGACCCCCCAAATTAAACTACCTTTCCATCACTGAGATGAAGAAAGAGAATCCTACACTTGGCCTAGAGGTGGCCTTTTGCTTTTTGCATCATACTGCTGCATTTGGTCTGCAAATTGTATTGAAGAGCACTTCTATTTACGTAAGTGTGTGTTCATAAGTAAGACTGGCTCATAACTTTCCTATCTCAAACTGCTCTTCTCTTTTAGGTATCAGAACTATATTGGCCTTATAAAATGGCCCATTTACTGGCATTTTTCAGTGTGTTACAATTTCTCATTTCCTGCCTGCAACTAGAGTGCTTTTCTCATTCTTAAAATGATCTACTTAGAACTTTTTGTTGTTTTTGATTTGGCCAGTTTCTCTTTTCAATGATGTAGCTTTTATGCTTTTAAGTTCTATTTATTTTTATGTAATTAATTCTTCTTGGTATGGTTTTCTTTCTCTGGGTTAAGCTCCCCACCAACACAATACAGTATGTATTGTCAAGATTTGTCCATCTTAGGACAGTTTAGATATGTATAGTATCTTATCACTCCAGCGTAAGTATTTTATTTTTATAATAATTTCATCTTATTATTTATAAGACTGATTTTGAATTTCCAAAAATTTTAAAAGAAAAAGTCTGTCATAGGACAGTTTGATTCTCTTATGAATAAAAAATTTTAGTGTTTTATCTGAAAATGCTCTGGCTTAACCTAATTTCTAATTACTTTTAAATATTAATTTTCTTTTCTGTTGACATACTTTTAGGATTGTTCATCAGTACTGATTGAGTGACCAGTTCACCAAAAATTTATGTTCTTTACAGCTAATGATCTGGAATGCTGTACTAAGAAGTCATTTCTACAAAGTTGCAATTATCTCGTTCTCATGTTTTTCTCAACAGCATCTTAGGAAGTAGGTAGCTTGTCTCTGACCTAATGTACACTGGACCCTGCCACCGGAAGAGATGAAGAGCACAGGGAGGGCGCACTGTGGGGCTCAGGACACCAGAGAAAGGCTGTGCAACACAGCAGGGAAACTGGGCATAGAGGGATAGGAGAGAGACTAGGGAGGTGAGGGAAGAGAGACAGGAGGATGACAGAAAAAGCAGTCTGAGAAGGGAGAAGAGCAGCAGGCTGAGAGTGTACTAAATCAATAAATCTGGTAAATTCAGAGGTTTGTGTTTTTTTCCTGTAGACTGACTCAAGACTGTGAAAGTTTCTCTCCAGAGGGGCACTGCTTTTGTTTTTATCAGGTGCCTTAAGTTTCAGTGGCCTGCAACCAGCATTTATTAATAATTTCTTGGCTGGAGTTAGGTAAGTGAAGTTGGAGTTTCCATTTCTCAGGGAAGAACCTAACCAGCTCAGACAGAAACAAATTCCTTGGCCTCCCTGTTCTGACTAAAGAAGTTCTTGTAGTCCTCTCAAGACCCTTCTAAGACTTCCAAGTTCTTTGCAGAGTTAAAGAATTTCAAACCACAACCTCTCAAAGGCCCACAGTCCCTATACACATGCATGACACATCTAAGGCCCATCTCCATCCTGACCCTTGGACTACTGCAGTGTCTGTCTACACAGCACGAAACCACATGCCATAGTGGAGTCCTAGGGATCTACTTCTCTTTAATGACAGCTTAGCTGAGCATTAAAGAAAATTTGTTTTATTTTTCTTGCAGGAGGAACAGGACAATTTTAGTATCACTTGATTTCCAACATCACTGGAAAACATTCTTTCAAAGTATTTCTAAGTCTACAACTCATAGAAGTTTTCCCTGCTGTCAGTATATAGTTAATGCTAGCAAAAACCCTATGTACCTTTTCCTCTGTCTACCATTCCTGATTTTTTTTTTTTTATGGTGAAAATAATGTGTATTTAGAATTAGCCAGCTGGACTCAGTTTAGATGATCCCAATTTTGTTGGCAGCATCCGAGGCATCGTCATCGGGCGCCAGTCGGACATTCGCCTTCTTCTGTCCATCAGGCCTGATCAGGGTTCTGACCTTGGCCACGTCAGTGTCACAGAGCTTCTTCACAGCTTGTTTGCTCTGGTGCTTGTTGGCCTTGACGTCCACAATGAACACGCGTGTGTTGCTGTCCTCCATCTTCTTCATGGCTGACTCTGTGGTCTGGGGAACTTGATGATGGCATAGTGGTCAAGCTTGTTACTCCTGGGGGTGCTTTTCCGAGAGTATTTCAGCTGCCGCCAGAGCCACAGTGTCTTGGGATGGCGGAAGGTGGGTGACGTGCGGATTTTTTTTCTTTTTCTGGCTGTGGATGCCTTTCAGCACTGCTTTCTTGGCTTTCAAAGCTTTTGCTTTGGCTTCAGCTCTGGGAGGGGCAGGAACTACCTTCTTCCCCGTCGGCGCCATCTTGGTAAAAAGGGCCTCCTGGGTTCGTTCCCACGGGCTTATACCACTAAATCTCACTGAAGACTCGCGATGCTTTTTACTGAGATCTGATTGGATAATCTTTGGCGTGCTTCCCGCTGGGAACTGTAGTTAGTTAATTTCTTCTCAAGCGTGACTAAGCATGACCATTCCTGACTTTTTAGGGAACAAGAAATCAACTAGACCAACAAACACACAGTCGGCTCCTTAAATAGTATTTAATATTTGTCTGAAATTTACTTTTATCTTTTCATTTTTTTACTAATATATATTTGTGATACATAATCATTACATTCATCTTGGGGAATAGATTATCTATCGTATCTTGGTCCTTTTTTCTTTTTTCAGTTTTATTAGTACTTGTTTACAGTACATAATGATTTTATTCCTTGTGTGGGAGTTGGTACATGTACATAACACATCTCAATTCTTTTTTCATCCCCTTCCCATTTGAAAAAGGTCTATCTCCCTACTTGCTATTATCTATCTTTTATTTTGCTCGTTATTTATATCTTGAGTTTCTCATGTAAGAGAAGCCACACCACATTTAAGTTTACGTCTGATTTGTTTCAATAACACTATGGTCTGAAGGTGCATCGATCCCCTTCTCTCCCTCCCTCCCTCCTCCATTCCCTTTCTTCTCTTACTCAAATTACAAAAGCTAGCTACTTGAAAAATCAGATCTAATGAAAACTCACATAGAAAACCACATTTATAATTTTGTACAATTAGTTCTAAATCTTTGTTTAAATTCAGGCTTCATAAAAAGTAGAAAGGGTAAAGAGGGAAACCTATATTCAGTATTTCCCAGAGAAATCATATTCACCAGCATTTTGAAGCATGGCTTTATTTCATTGACTACCCCAAGTCCTTCTGTGATATGGAATCACTTTCCAGCAGCAGCTGGCCAGCTCTTACCTGGTGGTCCTGGATCTTCCTGCCCACCACTCTGAACGTGTTGTTGCCTGTGTGGTGATAGATGTGGACTCTGCTGAACCCTGTGGAGCCACCAGCTGGCACCCACTTCTTGTTGGCATCGTCGTAAACCATCACAGCAGCTCTCGCCTGACAGATACTCTGTTCACTGCAAAAAATACAATGTTCAGACTTAAGATATTTAAATCAGCTAGGTATCCCACGTAGGCATACAAGCCAGTGTTAGCCAAACTGAGAGTAAGCAACAATTAGTGATGTACTGTAGGTGCTTCAAAGAATGAGCAGTACAGAACCTTACCCTGCAGGAGAGCCTGCTGGGGAAAGCAGAGACACAAAAAGTAGTAAGGGACAAATGGAGACCAGGGTCCTCAGGAGCACTCACACAGGCCACACAAGAGCCATTCTCTTCTAAGTGTGTGCATCTAATTCTTTCATTAACTGAATACAACTACAAGTACAAATCAACTGTCACTTTTTAAACTGCACACATGCTTATTGTATTGGTGACCTGTCTGTGATTACCATGACTTTTATCTTCAGGCTTACTTCACAGCCTAACAAATTCAAATACACGCCCTTGGCCTGAGACTTGGAGCTGCCACTCATACATAATCAAGCAATGAGTGTGTGTGTAAATCTCAATTCCCCAATCAAGTTCCAACCTACATTACCACACTCATGAAAGTGTAAAAGTAAAAATGAGATGATTTCTAAGGATCCTGCTAGTTTTAAGATTCTAACCTCCACAGACAAATATTAAAGAAAAAAGGATCAAGTCTATCACAGAGTCTTTTAAGTTTTAGCTGTATTAATTTGTTATTTGTTCCCAAGTCAGACTAAGATACACAAATAAATAAAATGTAAAGATGAAGTCAATTTCATAATTCAGCAGTTAGCTCACATTTCAAATATTTTAAAATATTCCTGAAGAGAAAAAGTGATTCAAATTTTACCTTATTCCATTCTATATTTATTTATTTTTGTGGTACTAGAGACTGAACCCAGAGTCTCTGCACTGAGCTATGTACTCAGCCTTTTTCTCCCCACTTTTTACTTAGAGTCTTGCTAAGTGCTTAGCTGCCCAAGCTAGGCCCCAACTTTCAATCCTTCTGCCTTAGCCTCCTAAAGTTCTTACAAGGATGCACCACCATACCCAGCCATGTTTTATTTTTTAAAAGAATCAAACACCAAAAGGCAGAAACAAGCATATTACCTTTATGCTGGTGATCTCCAATTACTATAACTCAACCTCCACACGGAAAAGCTTATGCAGTAGTCAAGGGAGACACTCCTCAGAAGCGCACACAACTGTGCCCTTACAAAGAACACTGCTCACTCTACCAGCTCAGTCCCAAAGATTTCAAACCATCCATCATCCCGGTTCTTCCCAACGCCCTCAGGGACAAGCCACCTCACACTGCCCTTCCTCAAGCCTCTGCCGTGCCTGAGAGGGAGGACGCTGAGGGCTGCACCTCTGCCTGGCCTGGGCCTGAGGACCACACCATAGCACCTCAAGCGGTCACAGCTCTGAGCAGCACAGTGCTTCATAGTGGAGGTTACAGCGCCTTACAGTTTTCTATTATGGAAATTTTACAAAAACTAATTTGTGAAAATATTTGTGTACTAAACCCAATAGTACTGCCTAAACTTTTATGCTACCCTAAAATTTCTTGGTACTAAAGTGCAAATTATTTTTAAAAAAATTAATGGGCATTTGTCAATATAGCAGTTGAAATCTCTTCATCATTCGTAACAGAAATAGCTAAATGGCAACTTTTATATAACTACAAAGATTACGTGAAACAAGCAAAGGCAAAGTGCCTCTTATAGGTTATAATTTAACAAATTTACTATAAGACATTAGTAACAAATCAATAAATAAACCTGTAAATTAATTCAGAACAGTACTTTTGAGTTTTCCTTTTTTTTTTTTGTGCAGTACTGGGGATCGAACTTAGGACCTTAGGCAGTGCAGTGTCCCTGAGCTAAATCCCTGGCCCTCAAGTTTTCAAAAATTAGTATTCTAGGCCTACATTCTGTTTTCAAGGGTCAAGAAATAATGTCTCAGGCTGGGGATTTAGCTCAGCGGCACCATGCCTGTCTCACAAGCGCGAGGTCCTGAGTTCAATCCCCAGTACCAAAAAAAAAAAAAAAA